TATAGTTTCCTCTTGTTAGCTCACATACTTTTAGATTTGCTTTAAAGGTCCTGGTGATTGAAAGTTACTGTTTTGTTGAACTTGCTCTTAAAGGTAAAATCATGCCATGACTTCTCCATATCTTTCTCTCTTTAGGAATTATACTTAGGTTTTTAAGTGTCTTGTTCTGTTAACTTGGGAATGTAGATGGCAGTCAGAGTTTAAAGCTCTGAAAGAAGAGCTGAGGCTAAGCCTGAGTTTCTAGAGGTATCAGAATTCAGTACTGGGAGTGGAGTAGGGCCTGCTGCCAGCCTTTAGGGAGGATGAGTAGGAATATTTGGGTCAAGGGAGAAGTCTCAGGAAGATACAGATGTTGGTGAGGAGAGCAGGTATGTCCTTTAAGTACAGACTTCGCTAGCCACTCCACTCCAGTTTGGAAGGGCAGAGCCAGTCAACTGGAAGAGTCTTGGTGACTTTATTTCAGCAATGAGGTTGGAACCAACGGCCAAGTTTACCATCACACACACACACACACACACACACACACACACACACACACACACACACACACACACGCCATTTGAAATTTATCGATAGAGTATCCACTAGCTCTTCATCCAAACAAAAGCAATAAAAGAGAAAATAATTTCCTAAATGCAGCAGTTCCCTCTTGGAATCTGTGGTTTCCCTTTCTGTGCTTTCAACTCTTGGTCAACTGTGGTCTGAAAATACTAAATAGAAAATCCAGAAATAAAAGTAAGTTTTAAACTGTATCCCATTCTACACAGCCTGGTGAAATCTCATCCAGTCTAGTCTGTCCTGCCTGGCACGTAAATCCTCCATTGGGTCCACACTGTACACTCTTCCTGCCTTTTACTCACACAACATCAGTTGCAACAGTGCAGTATCACAGTGCTTGAAGATAGTGCTTGATTTGGTATTGTCTTTAGTTTCAGGCATCCCTTAGGATGTTGAAACATATTCCCTAAATTTAGGTGAGGAGGAATAGCTTGTTTGTTTAGCACCCTCAGGTGGAGGTGTCCCTAGCTGAACTTGTAGTAGGAAGAAACTGAAGTGCCCTAACTGATAATTGCAGTAGCTGATAAAATGCTATTTAGAAAACATGTCCTCGATTTTGAATCTTTAAAACAAGGTCTGATTAATGTGATAAATTAATGAATCAATTTGATGACCACATTGTTTGTGGAAAATAGCCCTAGGAAGGTACTCTCTTAGCCCAGTTTCTACCTAGATTGAGTCCTTCCTCTATAGATATTTGATAGTCAAGAACACTTAGTCAAATGTCTGTCTTTATGATCCTCGGACCCCCCAGCCCCTCCATCCTTAAAGTTCCCTGTATAATCAGCCACTCCCTCTCCTGGGTTTTCATAGCACTTTTGAATATAATTAATTGCTTTTTCTCATTTATGTTTCAGATTGTGCCTTTTATTTGAAGTTTGACATAAGTGTTTTTGTGTGATATATGGTGTGTATTTTCCAATCCTGGAGAAACTGAGAGGGGAGGTTGAAAGCTCAGTGTTTCATCTGTGTGCTTCTCTTTTATTCTAGAGTGCAGCTGATTGATTTATTTTCTTGGAAATATATGTATGGGGCTGAATACCTTAGCAGATAATATGATAATTGCTTATATTAAGCAAATCCTTTGATTCATGGAGAGTTAAAAGACCTCATTAAAAATTCTCTTTCTGAGTTAGATTTAGATGGTCAAAAAAAAAAAAAAAGCATGACAGATTGGAGATAAATCTTTTAAAATCAGACACTCTTTGTAGTATGTGATTTATGGATTATATTGTGACTGGCTTCCTTTTAGTAGGAATGTCATGATCGGAAGCAATATATAATTATTTTTCTTTATTATATCAAATGCCCAAAGGAAGTGGAGATTAAAAATAAAGGACACATGTCATTGAGTGCTGGAGCAAGCACATGTATTCTTTTTTGAAATTCCCTAAGAGAACATGTTTTTATATCTTGCAAAGCCAAATGGTTGTGATTAACCTTGAAGTATAAGTCTTTAGTAGATGAAAGATTCTTGCAATTTGTAGCCTCAGCATAGCCAATCAACTTTGATATTGAACCATAGTGCAACTTGGATGGTGGTTTTCAGAATGCCTAATGGCCATTTTGCTAGAAAAGACAAAGTCACTATGAATTTAAAAATGTACTTGCTCTCCAAATAGCATCACACTGAAAATTTTAAAAGCAGAAGCATTTGACATCTGTACTAAAACAACTTCTGCTCATAGTGGCCCACTTGCTAATGGCAGAGTCATTATTATTATTATTATTATTATTGTTATTATTAATTTTGGTTTTTTCGAGACAGGGTTATTTCTCTGTGTAGTTTTGGAGCCTGTCCTGGATCTCGCTCTGTAGACGAGGCTGCCCTCAAACTCACAGAGATCCGCCTGGCTCTGCTTCCTGAGTGCTGGGATTAAAGGCGTGTGCCACTGCTCCCCAGCAGCAAAGGCATTCTTTTGGGTGTCGAAACTTGGACCCATTAGCCTAACTCATCTGGTCCAGGCTGTGCAGGCATTTTAGTGTTCTGTGCCTGGCCCTGCGTGCTTAGGTCACATTTCTTCTTTAGTTCTGTCTGTGCCGATATTTGAGACAGTCCATTGTCACATTAATTGCCATCTGCTTCTCTGGACACCCTAGTCTGTCTTCTGCTGAGTAATATTGGATCATCAGAACACTCCACTTGGTCCCCATTAGCTGAGACCCTTGCCAAATTACATGTTACTTTAATAGCTGTGGTTTTGCCCAAGGTTTGTTTTTATATTACTTCTTTTTAAAGGAGTAATATAAAACTTCCTTTGTCTGTCTCTGAGAGTATTACATGTTACATCTTTTTGCAGCCCATATATAAAACAAAATGTGAAAATTTTCTTTATGGATGTGAAAAAAACTTTGCTTTCTTTGGTGAAGAATGCCTGTTCATGAGTAGCAGTCTAGTCATCTTTGTTTTACATCTAGTATGCTCCTATGAGTGAGTACATACCATGTTTGTCTTTCTGAGTCTGGGTTACCTTACCTCACTCAGGATGTTTTTTTCTAGATCCATCCATTTGCCTGCAAACCTCATGATGTCATTGTTTTTCTCTGCTGAGTAGTATTCCATTGTGTATATGTACCACATTTTATTTATCCATTCTTCAGTTGAAGGGCATCTAGGTTGTTTCCAGGTTCTGGCTATTACAAACAATGCTGATATGAACATAGCTGAGCAAGTGCCCTTGTGGTATGATTGAGCATTCCTTGGGTATATGCCCAAGAGTGGTATAGCTGTGTCTTGGGGTAGATGGATTCATATTTTTCTGAGATAGCGCCATATTGATTTCCAAAGTGGTTGTACAAGCTTGCATTCCCACCAGCAGTGGAGGAGAGTTCCCCTAGCTCCACATCCTCTCCAGCATAAGCTGTCTTCAGTGTGTTTGATCTTAGCCATTCTGACAGGTGTAAGGTGGTATCCCAGAGTCGTTTTGACTTGCATTTCCCTGATGATTAGTAATGTTGAGCAATTCCTTAAATATCTTTCAGCCATTTGAGCTTCCTCTGTTGAGAAGTCTCTGTTTAGTTCTATAGCCCATTTCTTAGAAAACAGGACCCTAAGAAAGACACAGGGATCACCCAATGACAGAGAAATGGATGAGATCTACATGAACAACCTGGATGTGAGTGGGGGTAATGAAGCTCAAGGTTTGAGGGAAAGAGAGCTTAGGGGAGCGGGAGATCTCAGCTGGATCAAGAACAGAGAGGGAGAACAAGGAATAAGAGACCATGATAAATGAAGACTACATGAGAATAGGAAGAAGCAAAGTGCTAGAGAGGCCCAGAGAAATCCACAAAGATACCTCCACAATAGACTGCTGGCAATGGTCGAGAGACAGCCTGAACTGACCTACTCTGGTGATAGGATGACCAAACCCTAATTGTCGTGCTAGAAACCCCATCCAATGACTGAGGGAACTGATGCAGAGATCCATGGCCACGCCCCAGGTGGAGCTCTAGGAGTCCAATTGGCGAGAAAGAGGAGGGTTTGTATGAGCGAGAATTGTTGAGACCAAGATTGGAAAAAACACAGGGACAAATAGCCAAACGAATGGAAACACGTGAACTATGAACCAATAGCTGAGGAGCTCCCAACTGGATCAGGCCCTCTGAATAAGTGAGACAGTTGATTAGCTTGATCTGTTTGGGAGGCATCTAGGCAGTGGGACCGGGACCTGTCCTCAGTGCATGAGTTGGCTGTTTGAAACCTGGGGCTTCTGCAGGGACATTTAGCTCAGCCTGGGAGGAGGGGACTGGACCTGCCTGGACTGAATCTACCAGGTTGAACTCAATCCCTAGGGGAGTCTTTGCCCTGGAGGAGATGGGAATGGAGGGTGGGCTGGGGGAAGGGGGGTGCGGGAGAGGGGAGGACAAGGGAATCCGTGGCTGATATGTAAAATTAAATTAAATTATAAAAATAAAAAAGAATGCCTATTCACCTTATAAACAATAAAAAGAGGTAGATAATTCACTTGGCATAGAGCCAAATTTGAGTATCAATTTTAGCAGTGTGTCCAGAAAATTGGTGAGTTAATTAAAATGTATCATGTATACCAGTAGTTAGCAAACTATGGCTCAATTTAACACCTGCATTTCAAAATAAGATGCTATTAAAATGTAGCCACTATCACTTCTTTCTTTTTTAAGATTTATTTTATTTTTAATTATGTGTATGTGTGTATATCTATATATGGGATTGTGTGTATATCTATATATGGGTATATCTATATATGGGTATGTGTGTATATCTATATATGGGTATATCTATATGTGGATATGTGTGTATATCTATATATGGGTATATCTATATATGGGTATATCTATATATGGGTATATCTATATATGGGTATGTGTGGGTACTGCAGAGGCCAGAAGAAGGTGTCAGATCTCATGGAGCTGGAGCAACAAGCAGTGGTGAGCTACTCCACATGGGTACTGGTAACTCAGCGCAGGTCCTTTGTAAGAGCAGGATGCTTGCTCTTAATGGCCGAGCACCACCGGGCCTAACATAACATTTTCTATAAGAAAAATGTTTTTGCCTGTTAGCTGGTAGCTTCCATGGCCATAGATGCTTTTGTCTGTTTTATTTACTTTGTAGCCTAGGCACCTAGAGTACTACCCACAGTTGCAGTTCAATTTCAAAACATGACTCCTTGGGGCACATATTCAAACCATATCCAAACCAGAACATCTAGTGTATTGACAGTTTTTACACAGTGCTGTGATGAGACTGAAGCATCCAGTATTTCAAGGGCGATAATTGGGTGGGATCAGCGCTGCATGGGAGTTGGATAAATTGGGTCCCTTATGAAATCCTCCTCTTCTGTGTCTTCCTCTCTGTCCTCTTCCTCTTTTTGAGAGCAGTAGGTTTGAGAGGTTTGGTGTAAACATTAAATATTGGTGCTGATTCCTTGCTTATTCTTTTCACAGACAAGTGGTTTGTTTTCATATGCAGGGTTTGAGGTCATAGCTGAACTTCCTGAAGCTTAGCTGTAGTTGGCTTCTTGCTGAGATGAAAGCCCCTATCAAAGGGAAGGATAAGCTGAAACAGTCCTGCGACAGTTTGACTCTCCCTTGAAAGTGTTTTTTTAAAGGTTTATTTGTATTTTATTTTACATGTATGCATGTATGCCTGAGTGTCTGCATGTGTACCGTGTGCATGCTACTGCCCAGGCAATTGTGAGCTGCCATGTGGGTGCTGGGGGTTGAACCCTGATTCTTTGCACTGAGCCCTCTTTTTAGCCCTCTCTTGTAAGTTTTGATTCATAAGAGGATTAGCTTTTAAGTATGTGGCTGAGATTTGGGGTTACAATAATTTTTTAAAGGTTCCTTTATATGAATTCATCTTTTTCAGGATTAACTTGTGGAAAAACACCAAGAGTTGTTGGGCACTTTTAATTTATTTATCAATGATGTTTTTGAGTGCTGAAGTGGCCAACAGCAAAGGTTATGCGAAGAAGTACCTGCAGGGGTCTATGTTTCATTTCTATTGTCGTCTTTTAAAATTACTTTCATACTATTAGAGGAATAATTGGTTTGAACTACATTGCAATTAGAGGGTTAATAAATCTTTTGTTTTGATTACAGAAGCTGTTTATATACATGTGGGGGAAGCAACAATGTCAGATGATATCAGGAAAAGGTTTGATTTTCCAAATTCTCTTATCCAGTCACAGGTAATTTTTATTTATTTTTACTACATGGTAATCAATGAACCCTTTTGGTGAACTGTAAATTGAACTTTGTATTTTCACATACAATATTTTCTTCTATTCATAACTTATTTTAGTAAGCAACTTTTGTATGAGCTAATAAGTCTATTTGAATTAGAAAAACTAATATTTAAAATTGTTCAATTTCAGCCTCTATTTATTTCATGTTTTCCCCTAGAAATAATATAATCTTGATTATCAATTTCCTGAATATGGTTATTTTTTTGCCTATGTTTAATAATTGGGAACAGAGGTAGAAGGTTTTATATATCTCCATAGAGTATGAAGGATTAATATTTAAAAAGATATATTCTACCTCTCTACAGCTATTAAGAATACTAGATTTCATAGTAATGATATTTAATAATTAAAACATTCTGGATTAATGTAATATATACCTGCTGAGATAGGAAATTGGGATAATTTAATTTACAGAGCTTTTCAATAATTAAGACAAGTGGTTAAAGTGATGATGGTTTTTTTAGTTAGCTGCTGGCTAAGTAGAAACATTCTGCTACCTCTAGGTACCACAAAAGCTTACTGTCTCCTCTTATGTGTAAAGCTAAACAGCCAGTGTAACCTGGACAGCGTGTGGATGCGTTCACCGGTTGCCTTTGGAGATGCCTGCTGTGGGAATTGACTTAGCTGGGAAGTGGGGAACCCTTCCATGAGGAGTAGAACACTCCTTATGCAAGATTCCCTTCTACCTGGCTGGGTTGGAGTCATATCCTGCTCTGTGCAGCACAGGCCCTTCCCCTGAAGAAGATGAGGAAGATACTATCCACAATTTCCACTTTTCTGTACCTGGATAAACTTCATTAGCATAAATAAAAAGGAAATGCTAGCATGTATTACTGTGAAATGAGGCAAAAAGTGTGTCTGTTTTATTTACTGTAGATTGTCTATTTCAATCCTGTTATGGAAATGAAGTAGCAGGGTAGCATAATGCATCCCATGTGTAGGCGTTTCAGAGCCTACATGTAGCCTAGTTAGGCTAGTATCTCTGATGTTTTAAAAGATGAATAGGAAAGCAGATTAGAGAAATACAATCTCCTTGGGAGTGGGAAGATGTGTAACATTCAGTTTATATTCTTTTAGTCCTTTTTCTAAGTGTGGAAAATAGCTTTTTTGTGTGTCTGTTGCATTTCCTGGTGGGTCTTAGGTTCCTACGATTGTGCCCTGTCCTTATGAGTGGCATACCAACTGTTCTTCTTTAACCACTGCTTTGAGATAGAACCACATTCCGTTGATTGCCACACAGCCTTTCGCATGTTGGAAATTACATGGCATGTAGCAGCTGCTGAGAGCGGCTGAACTACAGTGGGTACTGCGTGCACATTTGTGAACTTGTCCATTATTTTCTAAACGAGTCCAGAAGAGTTCTCTGATTAATCTAAAATTAAAATTTCAAATTATAAGTAGCACTGGATACCATAGATTAATTGGTACCCATTTTTATTTCTTAGTGATGGGTAAAATAATGTTTGCATCTTTTCAGCTGATGGACAGATATTCAATGACATATGTGGTATGGTTTGTGGAATAGGAACTCAGGCTTCTGATTGGCCTTCAGTTTTCTTACCTTTGGCTAGGAGGTACTAGACAGCAGATTGAACTACAGTTTGTCGTTATGTGAGTGATTTCTTTCACAAAACTCAAGTGTTGAGGTCTTAAATCATTTGAACATCTGAATGTCTGTAGCATATGTGCACATGTGCATGAAGGGAGCTTTTCTAGAGATTTTGTATAATTGACAGCCGTTTTCAGCACTATTGTAAGTGGTCCCAAGTGCAGGATGTACAGTTGTAGTAGTGAAACTTTCCCTAGCTGTGCACAAATGGTTGTGATTTTTGCCGGCCAATTTTCTGTCAGTCAGCAGTGAGTGCTGGGTAGTCCTGAAGAACTAGGGACCTGACGCTGAGGCAGTGGGAGGTAACATTTATGCATTTATGCCATCAACTCTTCTAGACTCATTTTGGGCTCTTTGATTGAAGCAGGATGTGGGAAATTTTTGGAGATTTGTGAGCCTGAAAACCTAATCAGGACCTAAAGCCCAAGAGAGAAGGGGTAAATAAAGTAGGGCCATGAGATGGCTCAGTGGGTAAAGACACTTCACTAAGCCTGAGGGTGACCTGAATTCGATTCTGTTGGCCCACGTGGTAGAAGGAGAGAACTGACTTCTGCAAGTTGTCTTCTCTCCTCCACATGTGGGCTGTAGCATGCACATGTAAATGAATGCAAAAACACTAGAAGAAATGAAAATCAGACAGTCTAGAGGAGGAAGAACAGGCAGAGGAGGAGGGAAGCGGTACTTTGAGGTCTGTATGGGCTGTATCCATAAAAATAAGGTTGAATTTTTCTCCATTTTCACTAAGTACATCATGAAACATGACAGATTGCATTTAGATAAAAAGAAGATTGTAAAGACTAGGGGTTTTTGTTCATGGTTTAATGGATTATGTAATTTCAAATTATCTTTAATATTAGTTGACAGGAATTTCAGCTAAGAGTTGACAATTTGACATGTGAAATATGGTTAGTTTATTGCTGATACAGGATAAATTGCCTACTTTGAAGGTTGTTCTGAAGATTTGGGTTACACATGTGGATTGCCTCATCCAGTGCTTTTCTACAGGGCACACAACAAAAGGGACTTTTGTTTCTTACCAGTTGACGGCTTGGCTTGCTCATACATGCAAATGAGTATGGTGTTGATTGCTTTTAAATGTACTCTTTGGAAAGAACTTCTGAGTGAATATGTTCATTAACTTGTTTGTTCTTTTAGGCTGTAGGTCATCTTATTGCTGCTGTCCTAAAAGAACATGGCGGTTCAGAAAAGATAGACCAAACCACAAACCAGGTCTGTGTTTAACTTTGTTTTATGTGTGTGTCCCGCTGGTTAGCTTTTTGTCAAACTGACACAAGCCAGGATCATCTGAGAATAGGGAACCTCAACTGAGAAAATGCACCCATTAGATTCGCCTGAAGGCATCTCTGTGAGGCATTTTCTTGATTAATAATGGATGTGGGAGAGCTCAGCTCACTGTGGGAGGTGCCAGCCCTGGGCAGGTGGTCCTGGGTTGTGTAAGAAAGCAGGCTGAGCAAGCCTGGGAGAGTAAACCCGTAGGCAGTGTTCCCCCACGGCCCCTGCTTCAGTTCCTGCTCTGAGTTTGTACTCTGATTTTTCTTCATGATGGACTGCAAGTCGTAAGCTGAAATAAACCCCTTCCTCACCTGGTCGTTTTTTTGGGTGTTTATCACAGTAGTAGGAAACAGACTAAGACATCTTGCTTTCATTTTGTCTAGAAACTTCTGTCTGCTTGGCCATACATACCTTGTTTCCCTTGTAGTTCAGTTCACTGTGGAGATGATGATCTTGAACTCAGAGGAATTTGCAGACAGATCTTGCCTGCCTCCTTTTTCTTTCCCTTCCGGCCCATTCCCTTTCCCTCTCCCTCCATCTTCCGTGTCCCACTTCCATCCCCTTCCTCTCTTCCCCCTTTTCTCTTTGGTGTGTCGTGTTTTTATTCTATAACACTCTTTGAAACTTGGCCATTTGTGATTAACTCCAGGATGCCACGGGGAAGGGTGAAGAGGGAGTTTCCATCACTGTTGGTGATGAGGGAGGGCACGCTAGAGAAGGCGGCAGAATTACTCCCTTCTTTAAGCACTAGAGAAAGTGAACACAGGGGCTGTCTTTGGGTGTGGGAGATTTCTCAGCCCTTCAGGGTTCTGTG